TGGCAGCTTCCTCTATGAAGCAGGAACCCTGAAGGACTGTCTCGCCTTCATTCAGAAAGTATATTTCAGCAGTCATTTTTCTGTGGGTCCTGTATTCCACTTCATACAACATACCATCAAGCAGTTCAGGAAAGAGCAGTTTCTTGCTCAAATGACTAACAAACTCCATAAGGAGCCTCTTCCATGCCCATCATCCTTTTGAAGTAATTTGTGCTGGCAGAAGCAGACATATCTCATTATTCAGAAAAGTCTAAGTTCTTAAAACATTTTAAATGCCATATTTTGTATCTTTAAAAGTGTTGAAGATTCTATCTCACTGATATATATTACTGTATATCTACAAAATCTAACTAACATGATTATTAGATTGACTATTATAAATGATTATTAATTAAAATGTAATTTTAATTATATGTTACATTTTATATAAACTGTATAAATATAATACCTTAAACAAGAGCATAAATACATATATACAGTATAACAAAAATCAGCCTTAAACTTTATATATCAATGAACCAAGGTCCATACCAATGCGAAGTATTCAGCTCGATAAAATATCCCTCTTTAAATGAAAAAAATAAATAAATAAACAATCATTTTGGGAATTTGGGCATAGTTTTCTCCAAACTGCTTCCTGCTGTTTGTTGGGCAAAGTAGTTTTTGCAGTTCACCGAGACCTTTTGAAGGGTCATGTTCCATTAAACCACATTAACCTGGAAGGAATCCACCGGTTCACATCTTCTGTGGAAACGAAAGCAGGACCTCTTTTCAAAGTAACATATCCTTAGATTCAAATTTTTAAGCCAAGATACCTTTAAAATACACATGTTAGTTAAGCTTAGCAACCTGTACAATGAAATATCTCTCTGTACTTAGCTAATTCACAGTCAAAAAATTCAAATAAAATACAATAATATATATAATCTTGATTCTTTGTGTATATTCCACTTTTACATGGCTTATTTTTCATTACTCCTTTAATCTATGATAATCTGTACTCTTTCATATTACTTTTATCATCCTTTAGGCTTTGTTTTATTTTTTAAAACCATTTACTTATTTTTATAACAATCTATACTCTTTTTTTCTCTCTCTCCCAAACCTATACATTGATCCAACAGTGGGACCCATTCAGAGGTTTTTTTTTCATCTGAGTCTGTCATTATTGTGTATGTGTAATCATTTTCTGACCAGGAGTGCTTTTTTTTTAACCTATTAAGTGGGTGTGGCTAGGAACAACTCTGTGGCCCTGTCTGTTTGCTCTGCCCAGTTCAACACGTCAGAGGCATGTTCACTGCCTCTGTGAGCTATGCTCATTGCCCCAGTTCCAGGGACACATGCATCTATGTCACCAGTAAGCAATTAGTGGCAAGATGCTCACAAACCCCATTTAAGTGCAGGACCTCACGAAAGAGTAAGAGTTTTGTGCTACCAGCATGAACCAGGAAACAGGCTCTTAGAGAAGTTTTCTCAGGTTTTGCTGCTATAACTGAGTCAGAAAAACTTATCTTAAAGGAGCCCCACCTCTGCTTGCCTCTAGCAAACAAAGCCCACCCGAGAAAAATGCTACTACCAGGAAGCTGTGCTTAACTCTGTTCTTTTGTGTCTAGAATTTCTTCTCAGGTTTTATATGGATGTAATGGCCCCACATTGGTGTGCCATTTTGTAGGAGGAGACTGCTCTTTTGTTTTTAGTCTGCCAGACCCAAATAAAAGACCAGACCCACACAGAAACCATATAAATTATAACATTGCTTGGTCTATTAGCTTAAGCTTCTTATTAACTAACTCTTACATCTTAAATTAACTTATTTCTAGTAATCTTTGTTATGCCAAAAGGCTGTGACTTACCAAATAAGGTTTTCTTCTGGCATCTGTCTCCTTTGGCAGCTACATGGCATGCCCTTAACTCTGCCTACATTATCTATGTATCTATTCAAGCCTGGCTATATTCTGCCTCGCTATCGGCTGAAGCAGCTTCTTTATTAACCAGCGGTAATAAAACATATTCATAGCATACAGAAGGGAATTCCACATCAAGTAAATGGCCTTCTTAAAACAGAAGTGCTATTGTCATAATATCCCCAAGACAGTTATATTACATTGCAGATATCGATTGCTCTGAGTTGTACCCTCCTACTGGCATTCTTTTTTTCCATCTTTCTTTTGCCCTCAACTATTTACTTGTATTGGATTTTTAGTTTATTGTTTTATAAAGAGTAAATTTAGTTTATTAGTTATAGGACATTCAAGAAAATTCTTAAACAGTGCTTTTTAAATTTATCATCTGTGCAACATATATGTAAAGTAAAAACAAATATTATAAGAATGTTATAAAGCAGAAATCTAAAAATTTTTATTTAAAGTATTCTTATAATAAACAGGATACATAATTTTTGTTTGAATCAATTTTCTGAATGCTGGAGACAAGTGAACTATAGGAGAACTCCAAGAACTCCATTCAATGCTAGCATTAGCTTTAAGGACGTTCAGGAAATCATTAGTTAACTCCATTTAAAAACACACTAAAAGGTCAGAGGTATGAATTACATGAGATTTATGGTCCATGCTTGTGAACCAAATGCCTTAGGCATTTATTCTTGTTTATAACACTGTATAATGTTTCAAACATCATTTCCCATTCCAGAGTCTATAAATTTGACACATGTCAGCATCAATTGTGAACAGTCTACCAAAGACATATATCACTTCTTAAATATCAATCATTAAAGTTGGGTACCCAAACAAATTAAGTGAACCCCAATGGAGTACAGTGTGTATTGTAGGTTACAAAGTCCACAGAGCTCAATCAAACCTAAAGGAGGAACTGAAGAAGAAAGATTGGCTAGAAAACTCTAGGGAGAGCTGGAGCGAGGTAGTGATAGTGATTGAGAGATACAATCAAACTATATTATGTAAACAAACTGAGGTTTTAATGAATAAATAAGTGAATAACTAAAAATACTTTATTAATTCTCTGAGAATTTCATACAATATATTATAATCATTTTCATCTCAAACTTTCACCCAGAACCACTAACTGTTCCCACATCCACCTTACCTTCCTATCCCTACAATCTCTAACTGCTCTCAGACACACATTACCACCCTACCCACACAATTTTGTGTTCTCTTTAAAATAACCATTTGGCTCCAATTTGTGCTCTTTCTGTATGTAAAGAAGCATGGCCAAAGTACCAGAAATCACACCCTTAAAGAAAACTGACTTTTTCTCTCAGTCTCTAAGAAGAAATCAACAGTCCATATTTCCTCATTTAGGGGTGATAACTCATGAACCCTTTTCTACTTCATTCTAGAGCATTTACTGGCCTAATCTTATGCAAGCAAGCACAGCTATCATGAGATCATCACTGAATCAGTCTTGTCTGGTTAGAAGACAGTCACTGGAAACCCCTTCTACAAAATCCTTACCAATCCACCTTTGTAGATTTTCTGATAGAAGTCTCCATTTGCCTGATGAAAGATACCACTATGGTGGTGGAATATTATGGAAAAAAGATGGATTTTTGTTTCAGTCTTCTGAATATAGAGTATGTTGTTTGGTCCAATGGTAGAAGACCAAGCCCACAATTGTCCAATTAAACCAAGCTGCATTTTGGGGGTGCACCTGTGACTGGACAGCAGACTGTTTCACCACACATCTTAATTTGAGAAGATAGCCACTATCTGCCTCCTGAAATTCATTTTAGAGGAGCGATGAGGTATATGCAGAGGCGAGATGTCTAACTGTTATACATTGTTAGAAAGACACAATGAAAGGACAGGAATAAGGGTAAAGAGACTTCAAGTGTTGATGAAGACAAACCTAGGGTCTAGAGAAGTATCAGCTAGGGTGATTAAGCATTTTCATTCCCTATAGTTCCCAAACTGTGATCAACCAGTGAATTTACCTGGTTTCTGTCCTACCATCTTACCTAGACATCACAAATAGATATTTCTTAAAAAAAAAAATTTAAACAAATAAATTTAAAGAAACAAACTATATAATCTTAGACAAAGAAATCCTATTTCTAGCTTAAAGGTTGTTTTGAAATTGTAGAGTATTATCATAAAAACTGAAAATATATTCAGTATGAAATGTGTCCTGTCTGGATTTAGCAAAAGCAGTCTTTTCTCTGTCTTTGTCTCTCTATTCCCTGCCTCTACCTGCTCTCTTTCTCTTTTCCTTTCCCAATTTTCTTCTTTCTTTCCCTCTCTCTTTCCTGCACACAGATACACAGACACACACAAACACACACACACACACACACACAGAGAGAGAGAGAGACAGACAGACAGACAGATAGAGAGGGAGAGAGAGAGACATACACACCCTAGATAAACCATAACCAGGGAAACAGAAGCTTCAGCATCTTCAAGCAGACGCCTGCCCTGTACTGAATCCTGTCTCTGTTTCTCTGGGCTGTGTCACACTGCCCATTTATTCTCCTTTCCTGTCTCATCAGGAACTTGGGTGAAATAGTGTAATGTGTGTACAATATTCCAGTGTCGATAATATATGTAACTTGCTTGACATTACATATTTTTCATGCAGAAATGACTATCACAAATACTAGGTTTTATGTATTTACTAGACTCCCAAAAATGTTGTTTATGTAAAACACAATTATGTTATAAAAGCATTCAAGCCTTCTCACAGAGGGAGACTGACAAACAAGTAAATTTGTCACTACTAATTTGCCCCTACTTTGATGAGACAGCTCAATTTTCCTTCATGAAGCCTCCGTACACAAAAAGCTTTAGTAACAAAACCTTCACCTTCACTTTGCTAACGATGGTTTCTATTGATAATTTGCCATGTGTAACTTAAAGCAGTTCTCCTTAAACATTGCATTTTAATATTAAGAAATCACAAGTTCAGAAAAATTGTTTTGTATCTGACTTTGGATGAATGGCTCTTGTGTTCCTTCAGTTTTATTTCTACTTAACCATATTCAGCATTCTTTCTTATGTCTTTCTTCTCTCCCTGTAACCAAGGTCTCTTCAGGATCTATCTAAGCAAACAGATATCCCGTATGGCACAGTCTTGGACTCTGCAGTCTATCAGCATGTCCGCATGAAGGGCCTGAATCCTTTTGAGAGGGACAGCATGTATTCCCAGATGTGGAGAATGATCAACCGAAGCAATGGGTCGGAGAACAATGTTCTGGAGTCCCAAGCAGGCATTCAAAAGGTACCCTGCACTTCATGAATAGTTTTCACCAGGTTGTTTTCAACACAGTCATGACTGAATTGACATTTATTTCTTTCTCTTTTATTGAAATTATGACATTGAACTTTCAGTTAAATAAATTATATTTTATTGTTTTAAGGAAAATCTCAGGGCAACTCAATGTTCTCTGAGAGAAAATTCCAGGTCCCCTGTAATGTCTCATCAATAACTTCCCCTGGAAATCCAAAGCTAAAAACTGATGATGTTATTTTTTACAGAAAAGGATTAGGGACTTATAAACATGATGACTAAATATGTTTTCCCAAGTCCATTCCAAATACCATTCATGTTATCCAATTCATTTAAATGGCTCAATGTGTTTTCTATACAGCATTTGTTCTGAAGACTAAAGCTTTATCTTTACCTGTGATTATCTAAAGCTATTTGGAAGAAAAATTTAATCTTGTTAACAAATACAGTCCCTGCAAATGACTGTTTCTGTTCTCCAAAGTGAAAATCTTTATCTGCTTATTTTTCTATAACCAGACATTTAGACGTAGATATATTTAAAAGGCATTGAGGCTTTTGCACATTTGTTTAAAAAAAAAACATTAAAAGCTCTTCTTCATTCTGGATGTAGTTTATTTACAAACAAACACAAACAATTCAGATCTCAGAAGCCTCCATGAAAGAACTGTACAGTATTTGGTTAAAATTATGACCAATAGCTAATTGTTGGCATTCATTGGGTGATCATGGAATGAATAAATGAACATATCAGGGCCATGACAACAGAATGGATAGCAATAGCAGCAACAGTCACCTTCACTTTTTCTCTATGACCTTTCATAGCAGACTAGGTCTGATCCTGCGTCTGAGCTTTCTGCACAGAAGACAAATGCTCCTCTAAAGAGGGTTTTATTATTTTAGTTACTCTGCTTCAGGTTCCAGTAGGGCTCTCACCCTTCGGGATCGACCTAAATCATCTTTGCCTCATTGTCCTCATTGTCTTCTTTGCGAGAAAGTGAATATTCTTAGCATGTTAGCTGTAGCCTCTAAGGAGGAAATGCATGATCTTGCTCTATCCAGTGAATCCTCTGATATCTTTGACCTCATTATATAAATCCAATTTCTAAAGGCCAAAGTGCTGGTTGGAAATATGACTTTCTTGTCTTTCTCAAAAGGCTCCTGGAAAATTAGCAAGGCATCATCAGAATAAAAACCTAGGAGTATAGAGTGAACCAGTCTCTAGCTAAGCATGTGTATTGAGGGAAGGAAGAAAGGGTGGATGTTTTAGGTTTATCATGTAGGTACTTACAGAATGTAAATAAATTAGAGCTTCTAATTAAATCTTTTCATTTTGGAGGGTTTGAAGAAATAATTTTCCTTCATATTATCAACCACCAAAAGTGAACTTTGCAGGCCTGGAGGAGTACATTCATGCCCAAGTGTGTGTTCAGTGTTGATAAGGCCCTCACTCAACCCCCCACTGCAGAAAAACAGAAATACTATTTTTGAGTATCAATAAAAATAGAAATTCTTATTTTGTACTTGTATTACAGTTCAGTAGGGAAAGCTGCCCAAAGATAGCTCATTTTCTCTCATCAAACATATATAATCTCAATAAAGTATTTTAAAACAAACGTACGTGTTCACCCATGCAGCCGTGTATCCTTCTTCAAATATTTGCTAAATACTAGCTGTGTGCCAGGCTCCTAGATAGGAAGTAGAGATTTATTCAGCTTTAGAGAAAAGGTCACTGGGCTCATGAGCTGGAATCTGGTGAAGAAGACGAGAGGGATAGAAAACATGGTTCAAATGCTGACAGATGCCATGAGACTTTCAATAGGATGTTAAGGTGAAAGTTGCAGAGACGATCTACAGCTCACGTTTTTTTCTCGGTATCTCACTTTACTCACTCATTGACGAAAACACTCCCAGTGGAAGCACGAGCCGAGAAGCCCTCTCATCCTGGATTTAAGTGTAGTTCGATTTTTAAAATAAATTCTGAAATTGGAGCATATATGTTAGAATCCTGCTGAGACTTGAAAGTTTCATCGTTATGATAAGAATTCCTAGCTCATACAGATTTTGTTAACACTAAATCAGGCCACGCATGTTGATTTTCTTCTCTAAACCCAGCAATTGGGAGGCTGAAGCAAGAGAAGAGGGTTGTTGTTAAGTTGTAGATCAGCCTAGGGCACATAGCAAGTTCCCAACTCAAAAGCCTAAAAATAAATAAGTAATAAAGATGAAATACCATTATTTAGGTAAAGTTTCAGTAAATAATACAAGCAGAAGCAGAACCTATCTTTTTAAGATAGCTTGAGAGATTAACAAGAGAATGGACTTATGAAGAATTTGTATCTACAAAACTGTATCATTTACTATTTCCTTCTTTAATTTATAATTGTAATATGATAAAAAAAAGAAAAAGAAAGTGCAGTTTGAGAAGTAGAAGGGATTTCTATTTCCTCAGAGTTGACTGATCAGGACAGGCAATCAGTTGAGGCAAATAAGTCCACCCCGGAGATGTGTCTTCTACCTTTGATGGAAGGGTAGCAAACCCTAACCCAATGAATAAGCAAGCCTGTGTAAAATGAGTTTGTAGATTTTGTTCACCAAATTGGAGGCAGTTGAAAATTGACTGGTCACAGGATAGACAGCAATAATAAAGTGCATTTGGGTTCAGTTTGTAAGGATTGAGGCAAGTTTTAGTAAAAAGCAAAATCAGCAATGGAACAATAACCTCATCTGTCGAAGCTCACTGAAGGTTCAGAAATCCAGGCCTATAAGACACGAAGCCTGACTATGGGTTCTGTGCCCAGAAACTTGATCTTATACAGCTCACATAGCTGCTTCCTGTTCTCTGTCACTGGTTTCTAATTTGTGGATGCAGGAAATAGAAAAAAAGAAAAAAAAGTTCTTCAGCTGTATCTTTAACAGAAATCCATATCTGTAGTAACTGCTTCACAGAGAAATCCACATCACTGGGAAGGTCAGTCCTCACAATCTATAACGCTGAATAGCTCTCATTAATGTCTTGGGTTCTACTTGTTCTTAATTGAGCTACCAGTTTCCCCTCCAGGAAGGTTTAACATGATCCCCTCAGGTATTTTTGTTCAATTGTGCCTGAGACATCTGCGCAAACACACAGTAAGTTGAGAGTTCGTATTCTTGCAAGACAGTCACGTGTGCTGAGCCATCCTAATTAAACTGAAACCAGTGCATTGCAGTGTTCCTCCTGCGGATTTCAGCATAAGTATTCCAAAGGTATGATCTGGGAAATATAACTGGATTTTTTTTTTTCAGGAGGTTAGCGGTTATTCTTGAGTACCTTCTGTGAATCAGGCAGTTGTCTCAGTGGTGATGAGAGGAATGAAGTCTTCTCTGGAGTTAACCTCCTAGCAAATGAGCAGACAGTAAAGAAAGTAAAACAAACAAGCAAGCAAACATATTGTATGTTCAGGAGTGTGAAAAGATAAAAAAAAGAAGCGAAACCATAGAGGAGGGTTTGAAGTGTGGACAGCCAGGTTGTCCTAACCTCTTAGATTTGGCAACCAAGGCTTCACTGTAAAGGAGACCCTGGAATAAAAACTTGAAGCATTTGGGATGGGAAGACAGAGAAACTGACGAAAAGAAGGAGATAGATTGAGAAATAATGGTGGATTCCTGGACAAAATATTTTTACATAGAGAGTCCGTCAATCCAAGCTCCAAGGTGGGCAATACCTGGATTTTTGTAGACTATTCATAAAATAAGACCTGGTGAAATAAGCCTACCGGATCTGGACCAGAGTTTCAACAAGAGCGGAGAGTTAGAAAGTCAAAAATAAAGTGGAGAAAACTACAATGTCTTACTCTTTAAAGCATGATCCTCTGGGGCAACAGCGAGAACCCCACCTGAGAGCTGATGATAAACACCGACTCTCAGCCCCACCCGAGGCCTCTGAAGGTGGACCTTAGACTTACAAAATGTGAGAATAATTCTTGTGCATCGTAGGGTTTACATCATACTAATGCAGGATCATCTAGAACATTCTGATTTGGCTTTCACATGTGAGGGATAAAAAACTCGAGGTTTTTGAACAGAAATGTAATCTGACTGATGTCACATTTTGGCAAAGACATCCTGGGGGGAAAAACAACTAATGTGGCATGTGGAAGCTGGATGTAAGCAAGGAGCCCACACTTGGGGCCTGGTAACGTTCTAAAATAACACCACAGCAACTTCCACCCTATTGAAACACAATGCAGACTACAACACTGAGCAATCTTTGAAATCTATCAAACTATTTTGGTGGGTGGAAATGGGAGGTGAGATAGGTAATTCCCAAAATCCCATAGAGAAACTGCTGGGTCTCTATTTCTATTATCTGTGGTGGCAGGAAGAGAGTTCCTTTAGAACTATTTTTATTTATATGAATAAACAGTAGCTTAGGTCTTTGTCTTAGTGTAGAGATTTGGGGGAAAAGGAATAGGGGTGGTAATTCTGGAAAGCAGAAGAAACTTTAGGTCAGTAGACTTCCTAGATCAGACGAAGAGTCCTCTGCAATGTTGGGCACAACTATTAATGTAATGCATCGGCATAATAAGGTTCTCTGTCTGTCCTGTTCAGCTGCCCCACTATAAACACAGAGTGGGCATGGTAAATTTCTCCAGATCTGGTCTTACATACATAAGTATCAGAGAAAACAATAGGGGCAATGGAGTTGATTATGCACAAACAAGTGATTATTATTATTGCTTTCATGGATTCTAATCTGCATATGAATGTGATAAGAAAGGAAAACTGAGGACACCAAAAGAATGGCAGGAACAATCAGTTATAGGTCAGAATGGGACTTGGGAGACAATGGGTCTGTGAGCTCGAATAATAGAGTTAAAATAGTATGAGGTTGGTTCTGAGAGGACATATTTGAACGTGAGATTATAAAGAATGCTGCTGTTTTTAAAGATGACAGGGTGGGGAAATGCTTGCCTGAAATAAAAGGAAAAGCACTCTTGGCAACAAGGAAGTCA